CGGAAACCGACTGCTACAAACCTGCCTGTGCCTGAAGAGCTGTCCTTCAGAAAACCTTCCACAATTGGCCTGCACCGCTGCGCCTCCTTCCCACACGGTACTAAACCAGCACCATCTCCTTGCCTCTATGTATTGTGCAACAATTAAATGCTAAACACATCTACTTACTGATGATACACAATTGGCATAGTTTTAAGAAAAAGTTGTTCAAAAGACAAGTATTAAGGGGAGGAGAAAGGGAGGGGGAGGGGAAAAAAGGAAAATGAGCTGATTCCGGGAACCCAAGAGGAAAGCGAATTTTGGGAATGATGAGGGTAACAAATGTATAGATGTGCTTTACACAATTGATCCATGTACTGTGATGAATTGTATGAGCCCCAATAAATTGATAAAAAAATTAAATACATAGCTTTGAAAAGAAAAAAATAAAGACAAGTATTAAAACTGAATACCGTATATACTCATGTATAAGCCGAGCTTTTCAGCACATTTTTAATGCAGTTTTTGTGGTAAAATTAGGTGCCTTGGCTGATATTCAGGTCGGATTACACTCAAGTACATACAGTCAGTGATACACAGAAGTGACTGAGCTGTTACTACAAAAACCAAACTCACTGCTATCAAGTCGATTCTGACCCATAGCGACTCCACAGACAAGGTAGAACTGGTCCTATCTGCTGTCAAGACGCTATAGCAGTCGACAGCCATACCTTTCTCCTGTGCTGGTGTTGCAATGTCCCTTCAAATTGGTTCGGATTCATAGTGGCCTTGTGCACAACAGAAGAAAACACTGGGCCCTTCTGAGGGTTCATCTGTTATTTTAAATAATGCTTAGTAGCTATTCCTAAGGTTTCTACGAATCTTTTTTCTTTCTTTCTCAAAGTAGATTATTAGGTGTTTCATCCTAGACTATCTTAGTATGGCAGCTCTACTGAAACCTGTCCACCATTAGTGATTCTGCTGGTATTTTAAATACTAATATTATAGCTTTCACCATCATAGCAACATGCAAGCCACCACAGTATGACAGACAGATGAGGGATAGACAGGGATGACTAAACATTGATAAAAAGTTAATGAAGTTACACTAATCACAGTACATTTCTCCAACCAGTGTATATGGCCCAATAGATCATACTTCAACTTTGTCTCCCTGGCTCAATGCCAGGCATAAGCCCTCAATAAATATTCCCCAAATAAATGAACAGAATCAGAGTTTGATGTAAGGTTCTCCTTTACATGTGTCATAATGCAGCCAGTGGGAGAACAAAGGAGGTTTGCTTGCACGGACTGAGACACTGAGGAGCATGACTGAGCAAGCCACACTCCCAGGGCTCTCCCAAATGTGAGCAAAGGGGCCTTGGGCAAGTTACTGGACCTCTATGCGCCTCAACTTTGTGATCTACAAAAAAGGTTCTATTTCAGAGGGTTGTAAACAGAATTGTTATTTGCTTAACACGGTGCCTGGTACATAGTACTACAAAGGTGACTATTACAATAAACAAATACTTAAAGTGGGGGGCTAAGGAAGGACGTGTTACAATAGGGCAGGTAAGAGATGACGACTACCTAAGTTAGCAGTCGAGATGGAAAGCAGACATCCAATGTAAGAGATGTCCCTGGGCGACAGTAACCATTTGGGTTTTACAGGGGCACCGTGACACCCTGTTTCACTGGTGGAGGGGTGGGAGGGAAAAACGAGGAATGGGAAGGATGCTTTCAAGAGATTGAGTAACTACATAGCAATGCATTCATCTTTCTCTAGAAACAAATAGACCCGCAAGCACTATATCATGCCTTGGAAGTAAATAGTTAAAAACAAACACCCGCTCCTTACAAAAATGTTTAATTGTTATTTCCCCATGCCATCATCGGCTCAGACTACTGTCTAAGCAGAGAAAGAATGCCCATATTTTGCCTCTGGCAAATTTAGCACATTTGTGCAAAAATCAAATTGCCATGAAAATCCAACAAAAAGGCAGGTGAAGCAGAAGGTGCAGCTAATTAAATGGATTTGAGTTCATTGCCCAATTTGTTTAGGGTCAAATGATAATTTGTAAATCTGTCTGAGCAAACTAAATAGAAAAATAACTCCTTGTAGCATATGAGGATCTAGATTATTTCAAAGTCTACAGAAAAATGCCTCTTGAAATCTTTTTTTTTAAACCATCCAACTATGCCTAATTGCATTTCAGGTCTGAGGCTATACAGAACAAGGACTGGCAGTGGGAGTTCTTGAGCCAGAGGGTTGGGGTGTAAAGCCCGACCTTTGCCACCTACGAGCTGAAAGAGCAGTTTTCTACGGCGAATTAACCTCGGGTCTGTTTTGAGCCTCACATAAATTAATAATGTCAGGGACAAAATAAACATGCAATAGGTATTTGATTAGTTAAATATAATAGTTCTGTATTTTATGACTCCTTGGATACTGAAAACTTCACAAATCAATTACTCCTCTATTGAGTTTGGAAAAGAAGACCCCCATTTCACGATTCAGTTTTGAAATAAAAAGCATAACCATAAGCTTTATTTCCAAAGTCTGGTAATTAGGATAGTTTTTAAAGGCATAATTTGTCCAAAAATAATCTGCGAACAACTTTAGACTTTATTGTCATTGTTAAACACTTATCATTTTTAAAAATGTTCCAAGGAGTCCTCTGTAAAGGAGAAATGCTTCCTGAGTTGTACCACGGTAAGATGGAATGAGAAAACGCCTGATAAGTCACAGACTGTATTGAGTAGGTAGTCACATACCTACCTCTCTTTTCCCCTTGTACAATACATTTTGGGCTTCTGCTCATAATACTCTAAGTACATTATTCACGCAGTCTCAAATGCCTGGTTCCTCTTGGCACGGTAAGTCTTTTATGATGGCAGAGTGGTTATGCATTGGGCTGCTAATCACAAGATAAGCAGTTCAAAACCACCAGCTGCTCTGTGGGAGAAAGATGAGGCTTCCTACTGCCGTTACATCTAGGGAATCCACCAGTGCAGTTTATCAGGTCACTTAATGGCAGTGAGTTTGGTTCTGAGTGAGTGGTAAAGCGCAATGACGTGGAATGACTCTCCTAAGCATGTGTTTGTTAACTCCCACAAATGATGTGAAGCAGTAGACGGGATTGGTCAGTTTTGCCATTCCACGTCAGTCAGCAGCACAGGGAGAGAGAGAATCCTGTGACCATCAAGAAAGAAGAGCTACCAGCAAAGCACATCCCGGATTCCTGTCTGAAGTGGGTGAGGCAGCAGAGACAACAGAGGGAACGGCACCAAGATCATGAACAGTGCAGAGGGGCTGAGCAGAGACCATGAGACAGTGCAGAGGAACACCATCCAGGGAAGAGAGGCAGGTTTATCCGCTCAGGAACAAGGTAGAGACCAAGGCACCATGTGGCTGAGAGCCTGAGGCCCAGAGAAGCATGCCTGTCAGCATGGATAAGAGGCACTGCACAGACACAAAAAAACCTTTATCATTAATATTTTGTAACCCATTAATTTCCCTAACAAACCCCATAATAGTGAGTGTTGTCTGTGAATTTTGTGTCCATCATATTACATGACCGAACCAGCAAAGTCAACTGTTGTGGGGGGCATTGTTGATGTCAGAATAGGATCAAGGACTAGGAGGCAAGTCTGTCTGACCTCTGCTTCATAGGAGTCATCCTTGGGCAGACATGGAATTGGACTCTTTCCCCGTTGTTTAGCCAAAGAAAGTCATACATGACCTCCATGCCATTTCTTCAGTCACCAAGAGCTGGCATCTCCTGAGGCTTTTTCTGGTATAGCCCCTTTGTTAAATATGATACTTCTTATACCAGCTGGTGCAGACCCCCCCCCTTTGGGGGTCAACAACCCTTTCATAGGGCTCACCTAAGACCATCGGAAAACACATATTTCACAATATATAATTACATCTTGTTTTCTGATTAATCACTATGCTTTAATTATGTTTAACTATGTTCAATTTGTAACGTATCAGAAAGTTACATTACGATTCATAACAGTAAAAAAATTACATTTATGAAGTAGCAACGAAAATAATTTTATGGTTGGGGGGTCACCACAACATGAGGAACTGTATTAAAGGGTCTCAGCATTAAGAAGGCTGAGAATCATGGATCTAGTGCCTTCTTCTATCTTAATACTTACAACGCCAACACACACAGGGACACCAGACTGCCAGCAAACTGGGTCTGGGGACTGTCATTCTCTTTGTATTCCACAGGGCAATGTAATGAACCCCTACAATGGCATTTGGCCAATGGCAGAACGCAGCAAAGGTACACATTTTTAAAATCACTTTCACCAGCCACAATTTCTTGGCATCAAGTTTCTTTCTACTTCCCTTTTTTTATATCTTTACAAATTAGCATATGGTTTCAAATACAATATAAAACAGGGACGCAATATAATTACCAAATAAAGTGTGCCTTTAGATAACAGGTGTTTGCACGCAGCTACCAGATGAAAGGTTGGGAGTTTGGGTCCACTCAATGGAACTAGGCCTGTTAAGTACGGCCATAAGAAGACAGCCATTTGGAGCCCTATGTTGTGCAGTTCTACTCTGAACACACTAGGCTGCCGTGGGTCAAAATCAACTGGCAGGCAACTTTTCTTTCTAAAGAGAATATAAAGGATGTTGGCATTAAAGAAATTTTTTGCATTTTCCTCTGAATTTCAAAAAGCAAGCATCACCTAAAGCTTTCGCTAATATTTTTATGTTACATAATTTTAACAAATATGTGGACATTATTGTTTCAAAAGGATCAAAGCAAAGCAAAGACTTAATAATTTTGCTTACTATTCCTTCAAAGTTTTCTTCCTTTCCTTCGTTTTCTCGGTTTTTTTCCATTTTTGTTTTTCTTTCTAAGGCCTCAGTAGGAAAGGGAAGGCAGCATCATATTGCCTTATCTTTTTTAACTTACCCTGGCCACCCCAACAAAAAGTACACTAACCATCTTACTTCACCCATCCCCCAGCCCTGAGAGAGGAATTCTACTAACCTTGCCGTACTCCAAGCATCTCCAAGCTCTTTGGAATACTGTTTTTCAAAATGATCCAATACAACTTTGCAAATCTGTTTTGTAAGCTTCCCCTCTGAGTTTGCTTTCAGCTATGATAATAAGAAAAAAAATTGCTGACACACATTGAATTATGACAAATTTATTGAATTTCAACAAAAGCACCCTGTTTTAAAAAGATAAAAACACTGTGTTACATTCTTATTACCCGTTGCGGTAGCCAGCCTAAAGGGCAGAGAACTTGTCCTTAAGATTTCCAAGACTACAGGAGCAAACAATCTCATCTTTCCACTCCTGTGAAAGGCTGGTGGGTTTGAACTGCCCATCTTGCAGTTAGCCACCCAAAGCTTAACCCCAATGTGCTACAAGTCCTTACAAATAAAGCAAAGTATCACAAGTAATAAAATTTCATTAAGGCAGACATAAGAGTGAAAATTTCTCTCAATGATCATTGTCCAAATATAAATCTAAAGTTAAAACATAATCTAGTAATATTAAGCTATGATAAAAGCAATTCAACTATGTTTTATAAGCCTCTCTAGATTTCAATATTAGGGAGAACTGAGTGATGGGGATACAAGTGCTGGGTTTTTTTGCAACTTCTCTATAATTCTAAAATATTCCAGAAATTTTATTTTTTAAATCAATCTCGTTTCTTTGAATTACTTTCTTGCAATCTAGCCTTATTTCATCCAAACAAGAAATTTTCAGGATTTGCTATGCAACACATGTCGTTCTAATGTAACATACACTGTTTCTATTACTCATTAAACAAAGTAAGGGCAAGATGTAGTGAACAATTTCACGGTTTTTCACATCAGTGATTCTGTTTCTAGCTATGGCTTTTCTCTCTCTCTCTCTCTAATCTATACGGTCCTACAGAATCAAATTTACAGTCTCCAATAAGCAAGGTAAACAGGGGCTCAGTCCTGCTTATTTACTAGTGAACAGACGTCCACGTTTTACCCTGTGAAGCTGTTCGCTACTGATGAGTGAAAATGCCCAAGTACAGACCCTGCTTTGCTGTTGGTCTGAAAGATCAGGGAAGAGACCGGACAGAGCAGTCCCATCCCTCCGGAAGGGAAAAAGAGCTGGAACGCGGGGAGAGGTTGGGGTGGCGGAGGGGGCACAGATACTTCCTTCCGGGAATGTTACAGGGAAGGCTCATAAGCAGCCGGCAGCGCACTCAACATTACTCCAGGACTCGGGATCGAAGAGCCAAAGCAACCTGGACTCCGCAAAGGGACCCCACAGGCCGATCTCCCAGGTCCGAGGCGCCGGCGAGCCCCCGCCCTCACCCAGGTCAGCGACATCTCCTCCGGAGCGGCCCGACCAGAGAGCCACTTCGTCCCGCAACCAATGGTCTGCAGAAGACGAAGACATCCTGATTTCCGGGAACTCCGGAACTCACTGCCAATCGTGCGCTTTTTTTTCCCGTATAGAATCTCGCGAGATTACTAAAGTCTCACGGAAGAGGCCGAGATCTCGCGAGAACCATTCAGAGAGTGGTTTTCGGAGTGTTTGGTGGGAGCTGGGGCGTCCATTGCCGCCAGCTCGGCGGTGTTTGGAGACCTATGCTGGCGGCCTGGGCGGGCCGCCTGGTCTTGAATCGCTCCCGCGCGGAGTTGTTTTTAACGACAGTGTGGGTGACATTCATTAAAATGATGCAGTCTCTCTCGGTCATTTGTAGGTCTTGTATGATGATCGTAGAAGAAGCCAAGTTGGTTACTGAATTTTATCTAACATTCCTTGACCTCATACCAAATAGCTCAGAGGACAAAGGCGATGATGAAAATGAAACTAAGGCACGAGTTATCGTGAAAATACACTATAAAAGGGCGTGTGTGTGTTTACATGTGTACATATACATGCATTTGTTCATCGGAAAGATTAAGCGATCAATTTGCTTGACAAGCAAATAACAAGAAACACGCCTAATGGCAAGCAATAAACGCCCAAATGTCAGCTGCTGTTGTGTATTTTCTCGTTAATCATGATGACCTTCTGTTGCGATTGAAGACCAGCATGAACTCTCACAGTAGTCTCCACCCACAGTTTCCAGGAAGGTGGAGTTTCATCCATTGTGACGGAAAGACATTTGAGTTACTCATTTCATGATACTCTCCAGTGGCTCTCCTGTAGCAATCAACTTATATCTAAAGAAAATCCATGCCTCAGATCTCTGATATTTACAAAGTACTATTGTGATGCTCACAGAATATAGGTAGGTACACGTCTACATTCCTAAAAAGAAAAAATTGTTATTTCTACTAATGGATATAACACTACATTTATTTGAACAATTTCCTTGTGATAGTTGTTAGATACTCTGCAACCGATTTCAACTCAAAGTATACCTACACCATTAGGTTTTGTGTGAGTGTGTCTGTGTGTATAAGATAAAGCTTTATATAAAAGAGCAGTTGTATATTGGGAAAAGATCCCAGCCCAGTCCAGATCAAGTCCATAAGTCTGATATTAGCCCATATGTCCGATATTAGTCTATATTTCCTCTTCAGACTCACAAAACACATGCAATGATGCCAAATGCAGGAAGATCATAGCCAGTGGGTAGAAAGTCTTGTGGATCCAGTAACAATGGAAGCATCCCAGCGCTGGCAGGGGTCTCCATGTGGCTTCTCCAGCTCCAGGGCTCTGGCTCCATTAGCATAGTTCCATCTGTCTTGAAAGCAGAAAGACCCGGCAGGGAGAGTGTGCTGGCCTCTAGTGAGCTATTTATCGCCATTGTGCCTCCAAATGAAGTCATCAAGCTGCTACCTAGGTGTGTTAGTCACCTAATCTGGTGTCAATTTAAGAATTAAGAGTGTAGGTTTGGAGTCTAGGCTGTCAATCTGGAAATAGCCAATGAGACTTCTGTGTGGGTATGGCCACGCCTCCCTCTCTCTGCTACTCCCTGGGTGACATTGCAGAAGACAAATCACATGTATGGTGAGGTAGTTAATTTATTGTGCCAACCTGGCTGATAAACACATGTGGGGTAATTGAAGGGCAGAGGGATAAATGGCTCGATGAGCCTCGCCTTCGAGTTCACGGGTCTCTTGCTTTGTGATGGTCGGATCAGGGTGCCTTAGCCAGTTCCCTTTTTCAGCTAGCAAGGTTCACTTCCTGCAAGACATCCCTGAGGAGAAGCCGCATGCACCTACCCCGATGCAGCCCTGGGTGCTGGAGCAGCCTTGTGGAGACCCCTGCCAGCGCTGAGATGCTTACACATGCATTGACTCAGCTTTCCTCCTGCAGTCGGCATCTTTGGGTCTGTTTTCTGAGATGGAAGAGGACTTTGTGGATTGGTGTCGGACATATGGGTTAATGGGTTAATGTTAATGTTGGACTTGTGGGCTTGGGCAGCACTCGGTTGGGATGTTTCTTGATGCGCACTTAACCTTTATATACATGAGTTTCTGTGGATTTGTTTCTCTAAAGTACCCAGACTAACACAGACACAACCAGATCTCGGGAGCCAGAGAAGCCGCAGAGAGACCCCTGCCAACACTGAGATGCTTACAACACCACTGGACCCAAAGACTTTCTACCCACTGACTTGTGATCAGCCTGCCTTTGTTTTCATTGCATGGGTTTCTTGAGTCTGAAGAGGACTTTATAGATTGGTATCGGACATATGGGCTAATATCAGATTTATGGCCTTGGACTGGACTGGGTTGGGATGTTTTCTCAATGTTCAATTCCTCTTGTGTATAAACCTCTCCCTTATATACATATGCGTGTTTATGAATTTGTTACTCTAGTCTACCCGGACTAACACAACAGGCTAGACTCCATCCCTTCGCAAGTTGACAGTAGATGATGTAACTGCCACAACTTGTAAGGATAAAATAATAATAGTACAGAGGTTAAAAAATACAAAGAGTGGGTAAGAAGAGACTGTAACTCTTTATGGAAGTAGAAAGCTTCATCTTTCTTCCACGGAATAGCTGGTGATTTTGAACTGCTGTCTTGGGGGTTAGCAGTCCAATCATTATGCCGCAGACACCACACCAGCCTGAGGACAATTGCCACCAGGCAGAGGACTGACACGACTCCACCTTCCATGCGTCTTTTTTTAACCCTCTTCTGACCCTGACCCATACAGTCTCCTTCACTGCTCATAACTGTGGGGGCTGAAAAGGAAAGCGAGCAGGTTACAACACGGTAAGGATGCAGTCCTTTTGTCTGCTCTGGCTCCTCTTCTCATCCAGGCCATGGCCATGTCTCTTTCCGGTCTTCAGCCTCTAGGCCACATGGGCCCTTGGCCTCTGCCCTGCACAGCCAAGTGCCATAACACTCTTGTGCCACTGATGGTTGTCCAAATGGCACCCCACTGGGCAAGTCAGCCTCCTGCCCAAAGGCACTCGGCTTTCTTGCCTGTGGGAGGGAAGCCTGCCACTCCAAACCCTAGTCTTGGCCTCTGAGGCCACTGTCACTTCACACAAGGATCTCTGTTGGGGTGGCTCTTCTTTTTTTGATGGTCAGGGCACTCTGTCTTCCTGCCTCGGGGATGGCTCGCTCACATGCCCAGTGGAATGGCAAAACTGGTCCCATTAGGGGTTTTTTTTTTTTAGCTCTATTCTTTATGAAACATACAGGAGTTTCTCGATCTACTGAGTGAATTCCAATTGCCAACCTTTAGGTTAAGGATCTATATTTATTTATATTTATTATACTTGCAAAAAATTGTGTTAAGTGCCATCAGTTTGGTTTTGACTCGTGTTGGCCCTGTAAGTGAACAACAGAGCGTCACCCTGCCAGATCCTACAACGATTCCTGTGTTGGAGCCCACTGTTGCATCCACCATGTCAATCAATTTTGTAAAGAATCTTACTGTTTGTTATTGACCCTCAACCAAGTATGATGTCCTTCTCCAGGGATTGGTCCCTCCTAATAACATCCAAATCAGAGAGAAATTTTTTCCATCTTCACTCACAGGAATATTTTTGGTGTACTTATTCCAAGACAGATTTTTTAGTTTTCAGCACTCTGTGGTTGTGTTAGTCTGGGTGAACCAGAGAAACAAATCCTTAGACATGCATATGTGTATAAGAAAGACGTTTGTATACAAGAACAACTGAATATTGAGAAAACATCCCAGCCCAGTCCAGATCAAGTCCATAAGTCCAATACTGGCTAATATGTCCGATACCAATCTATAAAGTCCTTTTCAGACTCATGAAACATGCAATGATGCCTAATGCAGGACAATCACAGGCCAGTGGGTGCAAAGTCTTGTGGATCCAGTGGCTGTAGAAGCATCTCAGCATTGGCAGGGGTCTCCACTTGGCTCCTTCTGTTCCCAGGGCACAGGGTCTATCTGTGGAGTGCCAAGTGTCTTGTCATTAGAGCACCTCTCAGGAGTCAGCAGATAAAGTCTCTCCTGCCTCCAAGGAAGAAATCCATGAGTTCCCAGAATTCTCAGGGGAAGGACATGCCCACACAGAGGGAGGCCTCATTGGCTGTGACCTGATTGACAGACTAGACTTCACCCCTTCACTCTTAATCCTCTCAAGTCCCAAATTGACACCAGATTATGTAACTACCACAGTGGTACATCCAGTATTCTTTGCCCACATCATAATCCAAAGGTATCAGTGATTCTTCTCCATTCCTTATTTATTGTCAACCTTTGATATGCAATATACGGTGACTGAAATGACCATGGCTTGGGTTAGGCGCACCTTGGTCCTCACAATGTCATTAATGAGATCTTTTGTGGCAGACTTGCCCAATAAAATGCATCTTCTGGTTTCCTGGTTACTGCCTCCATGAGTGTTAATTGTGGACCCAAGGAAAATGAAATCAGTGCCAATCTACTCTACTGAATGGGCAAAGAAAACCAAAAGAGAAGAATGTGCTCAACATTTCATAAGCTGAAAGAACTAAAGGAGAAAATTCAAGCCTCAAGCTGAAATATTGAAGTAGTCTAGCAGCAAAAGAGTGAACGATCCATGAATCATGAAAACAAGAAAAGCAAAAGCAAAAACGGAATAAATATACCAAAAAAATAATCAGCAGAAGCTTACTATATGATCAAGAACCTATGATATTAAAAGAAGAAGTCCAAGCTGTACTGCCGGCATAAGCCAAGAACAAAGTTCTAGGAATTGGTGGAATACCAACAACATATTTCAATGAGAGGATGCAATGCTGCAAGAGCTAAGTCTTACATGCCAAGAAATTGGGAAGGTTTCTGGCCAACTTACTGGAAGAGATCTGTATTGGTGCCCAGTGCAGAATGTGGAAATTATTGAACAGTATCTTTGTGGTAGATAAATAATCATTTGTCAATTGAGGATTAAGAATGTAGGGGTGGAATCTATCTTGTCAATCAGATCATAGC